TGCAAAATGGTACAGCCCCTTTAGAAGACAGTCCAGTAGTTTCTTACAAAAGGAAATACACTCTAACCATATAATCCAACAATTGCTCTCCGTGGTATTTACCCAAAGGATGTAAAAATATATGCCCACACAAAAGCCTGCACATGGATTTTATAGCAGCTTTATTCATAACTGCCCAAACTTAGAAGCAACAAAGATGTCCTTCAGTAGGTGAATGGACAAAAAATGTGCTACATCTAGACATTGGAATATTATTCAGCAATTAAATGAGCTATCACTGAAAAGCCGTGTAGGAATCTTAAATGCATATTACTAAGTGAAAGAAGCCAATCGGAAAAAGTTACATATTAAATGGACCCAACTGTACAACATTCTATAAAAGGCAAAACAATGGAGAAAGTAAAAAGATCAGTGGTTGCCAGGGGTTGGGGGTAGGGGCATGAGTAGGCAGGGCACAGAGGATTTTTAGGGCAGTGAAATATTCTGTATGATACCATATTGGTGAATACATGTCGTTATCTATTGTCCAAACCCACAGAACATACAACATCAAGAGTGAACACTGAGGTAAACTATGGACTCTGAGTGATAATGATGTGTCTGTGTAGGTTTATCAGCTGTAACAAATGTACCCCTCTTGTGGGGGAACATCAACATTGGGGGGGCTACGCAGAGGGTATAGAGGACATCTCTGTGCCTTCCACTGAATTTTGCTATGAATCTAAAACTGCTCTAAAAAACAGTCTATTTTTAAAAACTATTAGTTAGCCCTGGCCGGTTTTGCTCAGCAGTTAGCGCATTGGCCCGCAGACCAAAGAGTCACGGGTTCGATTCCAGTCAAGGGCAGTACCTCAGTTGCGGTTTGTCCCCGGCCCTGGTCAGGGTCGTGCAGGAGGCAACCAGTCGATGTGTCCCTCTCACGTCAATGTTTCTGTCTCTCTCCCTCTCCACCGCCCTCCCACTCCATCTGAAGATAAATAAAAAAATATCCTTAAGTGAGGATTAAAAAATAATAATAAATCAATAAATAAATTAATAAATAACTATTAGCTAATGGTATTGTAAAGCCCATTAACAGCTATTTACCAGCTGACTCCAGTCTGCACCCTCTGGACACCTCAGAGAACTGCAGTTCTTTGCTCTTGGGTAGGACCATGTGACTATGTGACTAGTTATGGCCATAGTGGTCAAGTGCAAGTGACATGTATCACTTCCAAGCTGAAGCAAAATCTCCCAGATCTTTTCTTTCCCTTTGGCTCAAAAACTGGCAAATTCAAGCTTGGGACTGCCCCTAGTGACAGTGATGAACAGAGCCACCCCCCCCCCCACACACACACACACACCCCAACATCTGGTGGACACACAGCAGAATAAGAAATAAGCCTTTCTTATTCTAAACCATTGAGCTTTGGGGATTGTTTCCTCAGCAAAGTCTAGTTGTTCTTGACTGACAAAGAAATGTTCCAGAAACGATGTCATTATATTTGCGAAACTGACTTCTCCCTACCCTACCCTCCTGTTCAAAGATATGGCACATCTAAGGAAGCAACGCTGATCTGGCCATGAATTTCAATCTTCACTCACAAATAAAATTTAAAAAGTCTGAGCACTTAGTTCATGGAATCTCTTACTAAAATCTTGATCTTCTATTTTCAAGCACCTCAAACTTCCAAGGAGTCTCACTTTCTTCCCCAAAGGAGCCTCTTCCTCATGCCTGTCAAGCCCTCTTCGTTCTCCCTTCAAGCAGTGGGTTCCCTTCCGGGAGCGGGGAGGGTTCTCCCTCCTTCGTGATTAATTTTCTCCCAAGACTCACAGGTTTTGTCCCTTCCTCAGAGAGCGGAGGAGGAGACAGATTCTAATCAAGGAAAGAGGCTGGAGACGCTTGTGAAACCCCACAGGTAAAAATGTTTATCTCGCTATAAATCATCATCATTTCTGCTAATGTTTGAGTGTCTCCATTAGTTACCATCTCTTTTGCTTTTTCTCAACTGGTTCAGAAATCAGGTAGAAAGCAGGATGTTATTTGGGAGCAGGGGGCACTCAAACCCCCAAAGTGGCCAACTGGAATCCTCTCAGGAAGTTTCCCTAACAACTGATCAGTGATCATACATTAACCTGTTTGCTCTGTGGAAGGGTCATGGGTGCTGTGACAACCTTGGAGAATAAGTCGGGGACACCTTGATGCAGTCTTGTCATGATCTCTTCCACTTACAACTCCTTGCTGACATCGTCAGGTTTGCAGAGCAATCCGAATCCCACACGAGATCAATCTTTTTACGACCTGTGTGCAAAGGGCTCTGAATCCCCCGAGTAACCCCAGTCTCTACAGCAGGGTTCCAACCGATTCTAGAAAGCAACCCCCTCTGCACCATCGGCTTATCAGATTCTTATCTTCCCATCCAAACCTAAAACCTCTCTCTGCTGCACCAATGCAGCAGTAAACGCACAACTACTTGGGGATTAGCAAAAACACAAAGGAAAATACCCTCTGCAGTTCTCCTTGCAAAGTCACAGCATTTCCAGCTGCTTCCTCCCTCACACATAACTTTGACCTCCCTACAAGGGTTCCTGTTTGGACGTTACCGATGTGCAGTGACCCAGAGCAGCAGTTTTGACCAAGTCATGGCATTTACTTCCAAGATCTAGTGAACCATGGTTGATTGGTGACCCCCACCCGTCCGCTAGGGGCACGATGACCACTTTCAGGATTATCAACAAACTCAGGTGCTGACACGAGGGCCAACCAGCAGCTTTCTGATTATAAAAAATAATCGGGAATCTTGAAATTGAGTGGATCACTAAGTCTTGCTGCAAATTCTCCTGAGACTTCTTTCAACGTTCTCTACTCCTATTCTGTTTCAGCTCCGGGCATCTTTGTCTGGACAACAGGAAAAACTAACTGGTCCTCCTGCCCAGTCTCTGCCTTTGACACCATTGCCATGGTGATCACTGTGGAAAACCAACAGGACAGCCTTGGCCAGTTTGCTCAGTGGTTAGAGCATCAGCCTATGGACCAAAGAGTCACAGGTTCAATTCTGGTCAAGGGCACTGTACCTCGGTTGTGGTTCAGCCCCCAGCCCTGGTCAGGGTCATGCAAGAGGCAGCCAATTGATGTGTCTCTTTCACATCACTATCTCTCTCTCTCTCTCTCTCTCTCTCTCTCTCTCTCTCTCTCTCTCTCCTTCCCTCCCTCCCACTCTATCTGAAGATAAATGACAACATTTCCTCAGATGAGGATTTAAAAAAGAAAACCCACAGGACTACCTGATTTCCTCAGGACTGCTCAGCACATGTGTGTCAGTTAGGTCCAGTCCTAATGCTGCGACTAACAAGGCAAGTCCTTTAGTGTCTAAAGTTTAGACACTGCAAGGTGTGCTCTCCTCACCTTGGACTGGAAACAAGAGCACCCACTTCATGGAGTTGGGGAAAGACTGTGTGGGGTAATACACATAAGACTCTTAGCACAATGTTCTGTCGTCCACTAAGTGCTCAATAAATGTTTATGATTATCACATGTTTCAAACATTGGAGGCCCTGCAAATTCTGATCACAAGAGACCTTTCAATTCCCATCTCTACCAACCTGCACACTGGATGTACTCCCTGTGCTCACCAGACACTGCTGGTCCACATACCCCCCAACTGGAACTTAGTTTTTACCTTGAGCACGCTTGTCCCGAAATGTAAAAAGAGTAGTCAGAGAGTCATATGTTTCCAACAAAGCTTTTCATTAGAAGATGATCCTCTAAAATTACCCATAGAGATGGTATGTTGCTTTCTGCAATTGGTATGATTTTTTATGTCTAATCATCTTTATCTCTAACAAAGATCATGTTTTCCACCCTGAAATAAGTTACCTTTAATGCCCACATGTATGCTCTTCTCAAACTCACCAGAAGGGGGAGTGCCTGCATCAAGTAGGGAGCTCCTGCACTCCCTCACAAGGGGACAGTAATTTGTCCCAGAATTCGTAAACCAGTGACATTAACGTTTTTATAATTACCAGAGACCCAGAAGATAGAAGCTTCTCAGCTCTTACAGTTCTTCATCAATACTTGTCATAGCACAGCCCAGGCTTGCTATGATTATCATAATGAATTTTTCTGTGATTTGCACGGATCTGAACTCTAGTTACAGGCTAGAAAAACTGAGTTAGCTCAATTCCACATTGCTGATGATTCCCACACATGCTTCATTTCATTCTCGCTGTAGCCTGTGCAAAGCAGAAGCATCACACGATGCTTAAGAGCACAGACTCTGGAGCCAGGCTGCCTGGATTCAAACCCTGCCTCTGCCACTTGCTAGCTGTGCGATCTCGAGTCAGATGCTTAATCTCTCTGTGCCTCAGCTCCCTCATCTGTAAAATGGGAATAACCATAGCACATACCTCCAGGGTTGTTTTGAAGGTTAAATGAGTCAAAATGTGCACGTAATTGGAAGAGCGTCAGACACAGTGGATACTCTCTGTGATTTAGTGGCTACTCTCCGTGATTAGTGGACGCTCTCTGTGGTTTTGCTAGGCCTGCCATTACTATGCTGCTGAGTAACTGTCCTGAAACATCACAGACCGGGAAAGGAGGAGACCGCACTGAATCTGTCACCCTGAAGGCAGCTCAGCAAAGGAAACCCGGTCACGATTCTACTCGACTTGGAGTCAAAGCTTCCAGCAATGGCCACAGGAGGGGAACAGGCAGTGCAAACATCAAAACAGAAAGGATTACTTATTTACCCGCCATTTCAATTCCAGAAACTCAGGGTGGTTAAAACTCCTAAGCAAAGATATGGCTCTAATAACTGCTGATGGTTCATAAACAGCCACCCAGGGGGCCCCACAGGATTGCAACTGTTATTAATGGAGGACCTTGACAGTGCCGGAACCGCTCTGCGCCTGGAACAGCCCACACGGCATGGACATTCTCACTCCACAACACGCTTCCACCCTCCCCGCGGGGAGAACACTTCCGCACCTCTGCCGCGGTCACAGATGTCTGCCCCTGTTACCTGAGTTCGCTCCTGTGGATTTCTGCTATTTTTCTTTCCAGCTTCTGTGACTGCTTAGGGAAAATCTCAAACTCACTGATGTAATTCTCAGGATGCTCATCAGGATCGTAATCACCGAGCTCAGCTGTAAGCAGTAAAACAAAGAGACAGAGAGAGATTAAAAACAACAACAGGGTGCACGTGAAAAGGCTCCTGCCCGAAAAGAAGAGCCTGGAATAGGCTCACCCGATGAAATGTACCTGTATCCCTAGAAAGACCTCGGCCTGAGTGTCTGGAAGCATATGTTCTAGTTCAGGTCCAGTTGTGTGAGCTTGGGCTCTTGCCAACCTCTCTGAGGCTCCTTTCTTTCTTTCTTTCTCTTTCTTTCTTTCTCTCTTTCTTTCTTTCTTTCTTTCTTTCTTTTTCTTTCTTTCTTTCTCTCTCTCTTTCTCTCTCTCTTTCTCTCTCTCTTTCTCTCTTTTTTCTTTTTCAAAAATATTTTTTATATTTATTGTTGAAAGTATTACAGATGTCTGCCCTTTGTCCCCCATTGACCCTCTCCTCCCTGCTCCCTGCTCCCACTCCTTCTTTCCCCGTGAGTCTCTGTTCTTTACCTATACACTAAAGGGATTTGAGTCATTGTTTCTCAATGGGGCACTAATGAGATTAAACAATTATTTATTGTTTCAGACCTTCCAAGGCACAGTAGGACATTTAGCACCCCTGCCCTCAGGCACTCAGTGCTAGTGGCACACCCAGTCATTGTGATGACCAAAAGAATGCTTCCCCCAAAATTTCCAAATGCTCTCCGGAACAGGAAGGAGGTAGTGCACTACCTCTACTGGAAACCACGGAACATCCCTCGTGGTTCCTTTCAGGGCCCATTTTCTCTGAGTCCAGGAGTCCCCTGGCTGGAGCTGCTTGCTCTGAGACTTGTGTAGGTGTGGCTCATTCAATGAAAAAGCACAAGATGAAGGCACCCAAGAGGACTGCACTTAAAAGTAAATGGATTGCTCTTCGATTAAAGAGTGTGTATCACAGTGTGGACAAGCATGCCAGGCTACGGTTGTTGCTGGGTTCTAATACAGGGCACCTCCGGAGGGTCTTTGAGTATAAAAAGAAGTGTCTGCACATCTCTGAGCACCCGCAGGGTAGAAGAGGACGGACCTGGATGTGCATGGGCCACCGCCTGGAGCAGCAAAGGAGATGCTCTGGCAGTGGGGATGTATTCCACCGAGTCCACAGCTTTACAAGGAAACTGAGCCAGGAAAGGGCAAGTATCTCAGGCAGAAATGGCCCAGAAAGTAGATCAAAGATGGTGGGAAAATTGCATTAGAGGAACTGGATCACCAACATGACTGAAATAGATGAAAAAATCAAGATGCCCTGAGCACATCTGCAAAATCACATACATCTCTGTAATTTGTATCCACTGTCCCTTCGTTGTTGAATCATCTAATGATTGTAAAAGGACAAAACTGGGAGGAAACCTAAGCTCTTTAGAGCTTCTTAATATAATTCAAATTGCAGTTCTTAAAACAACCTAAAATGTATACCACAATAGAAAGAACTTTTAAAATAAGACCCAAAATACCATCAACATTGTGGGAAATTGATTAATTTGATTGCATCCAAATTTAGATAGTTCTATCCATTAAAGGACATCATCGTCCAAATAATAAATGACAAGTTGAAAGAATACATTTATACAATCTAAAGCTATCAATAACTAATATCTAGAAATTAAGAAGAAATCCCTACAAATCGATAAGAAAATGAGCAGGAAGACCAACAGGAAATTGTCAAAGGATATAAACAGCCAGTTCACAATAAGGAAAACCCAAGGGCTCGTGGATGGAGAGATGCTCAAACCCACCCATAATTAGAGCCATGCCAACCAGAACAACGAGGTATCATTTCACACCTACGAGATTCACAAAAAGTCTGGGGATTTTATGTGTTGGCAGAGACATGAGGAAATGCAAACACTTGTACACTTCTGAAGGATTCTTGATACATGTAGCTCTTTTAGAGAACAGCTGGGAGTATTTAGTCAAATTTATGATCCAGCAACCCCATTTCTGGGCATATATTCTAGAAAAACTCTGGGTGTAAAAAAAATATATATGAAAGCAACTTGAGTGTTCATTGTCGGTGGGAGCATAAATAAAATATGGGTGATATACCCTTCTGGATACTCTGTAGCAATTAAAAGCAACAAAATAGATGTATACCCAGCAACATAAATGGGTCCACAAAACAGTGTTCTGCACATAAAAAGAAATAAAATGAGTTCTACAGCCTCATTTAATTTACAAAACTTAAACAATACTAATTTAAGTTTGTCACCTTAAATAATTTACAAAACACTAAACAATACTAATCATTTTATAAGGACGGGTGCAAAGTCAAAGATATGTATGAACCCAGTTATTGCCTTTAGGAATGGAATGATGGAAAAGGGAAATCAATCCATCAAACATAAGTGGGCTGAAAGGGATCAATGACAAGAACGGGTCATAAACTGATGATTAACTCAACATATGTTTCCAAAGAAACACACATAACATACCTGTACATACGCACAAACACACACATACATATACCCCTGTGAGCTCTATGGGCCTAAAATTTAGGAGATGGTATAACCCAGCGCTTCCACAGAGAATGGACCACTGACATGAAACGGGTCCTCTTCAACACAAATGACAACTTGCATAGTGGGTGGTAAGCGAGTGAGCTGTTGGAGGCAGTGGGCTTCTCTTTCAAGAAAAACGCATGAGGAACAATGAGCTTGTACTGCTCAACACTGCAGACAAGTAGCCTGGAAGATGCCCAAAAACCAAGAGAAGAAAAGCCATTGAACCTGCGCAAGGCTGCTGACCAGGTAAATGACAACACCTCCCCCATCACAGGCCCTGCTTTCTCGTCCCTGACAGCTTGTCTTTAACTCAGACTTCACCTGAAGCAAAAGGCAGGTTTAAAATGATTCAGGATTTCTAACTATTCAGATTTGGCTTTCCATACCAAGAGGAGTCAGGTAAGCGGCTTGTGGTTCTCTCTTCTATACATGACATTGAGGGTGAGTTGAAACAGGTCCTAGCACATTTCTAAGAGAAGTAACGGTCAGAAAACCTCAAAGAGTTGGAGCCAACAGATGAGTGCAATGGGGCGGTGGCAAACAGAAAGGGCAGACCTGACAGTGGTGCTTCCCCTAGCGGGGAGAGGACTCACTGCCAAAGAACTGGAGATGCAGGACATCCCAGTTTCAGGGCCACCTCCTCCAGGAGCCTTCCCGGACTGCTCCTGCAGAACCAGAGGCCCTCGGGTCACAGCAGGGAGCTGTGTGTCTCTTTAGCCATTAACACATATCTCAACTGTCTATTTACTTGTCTGTCTCCTCCCACCCTACCCCTCAGGACTCTGTATGACAGTGCCTGCCACCTAGCAGCTGCTCAATACATGTGGGGAGAACACAGGAACAGATAAGTGAATGAGGTAGGGAACCAACCCCTTTCCCAAGCAGAGGGATAAGGCATACATTGGTGCAATGAGGCAAGTGCCCGGTTCACTTAACCTATTTCGTGGAGAACTTACTGTATGCCGGACACAGGGGTACTGCAGCTGAAAAGCCACCCAGAGACCCACTTCCGTGGAATTTAGGTTCTACACGGGGAAGAGGGAGAAATGCATAATAAACCCCAAAACAACTCAGCAGAGTCATTTCAGATCTAAGTGCTTAAAAGATAGCAAAATGAGCATGAGAAAGAATGATGTGATGATGTGCAGGAGGGAGGCTGCTTCAGCAGTCCAGGAAGACTTCTCGGAGGAAGCGACCTCTGAACTGTGTTCTGAATACCTAGTAGGAGCCACAGACCCACAGGGGTTGAACACACCAGACAGAGGAGAGAACAGGAATCCTGCCCTGTTGCTGTTCTGTAGAAGCAACAGGAAAGATATTTTTACTGAGAAAGGATGGAAATAGATCCCTGGGGTCCTGTGTGTTTGTTTTGTAATTTGTCCTTATGAGAGAAAATGCATGGCATGCACTGAGTACACACAAGTGGCAAAACTCGGGGTGGCTGCCTGTTTTTTATACACTCAGAACATACAGACTCTAAAAACGTGCTCCTTCAAAGAGCATTGGCAAGCGAAATAAGTCAGTCACAGAAAGACAAATACCATATGATCTCACTAACATGTGGACTCTAATGAAGAAAATAAACTGACGAACAAAACAACCACCTCCTCTCAGACATTTGCCAGTCTGTTCCACGTATCCATGCCTCTGGGTTTTTTTGTTCACATGGATACATGGAACAGGCTGGCAAATGTCTGAGGGAAGGGAGGTTGGGGTACTGGATAAAAGGTGAAGAAAGTAGCCAAAGAACATATATGCATAGCCCGTGGGCACAGCCATCAGTGTGGGGAGGGCTAAGGGAGGGGGAGGGAGCTGGGTGGAGGTGGGCAAAGGGGCAAGGGGGGAATGGGGAATATCTGCAATAGTGTCAACAATAAAAAAAATAATAATTAATTAATTAAATAAAAAGAAAGAGAGCCCGGCTGGTGCAGCTCAGTGGTTGAGCATCAACCCATGTACCAAGAGGTCACCGGTTCAATTCCCAGTCAGGGCACATGCCCAGGTTGTGGGCCCAATCCCCAGTGGGGGCCATGCAGGAGGCGGCCAGTCGATGTTCTCTCTCATCGATGTTTCTATCTCTCTCCCTCTCCCTTCCTCTCTCTCTAAAATCAATAAAGAAAAAAAATAAAAAATAAAAAAGAAGAGAGAGTTGGCAAACCAGCAGCCCATGGAAAGTCACATCCTCCCCCGCCCCGTCCCCGGCTTTGTTGTCCATGTCCATTGGTTATGCGTACATGCACATAAGTTCTGTGATTTATCTCTTCCCTCCCCCCACCACCCCCTCTTCCGAGGGTTGTCAGTCTGTACCCTACTTCCATGTCCTTGACTCCTCTTTCCCTATCTCTGTAAGCATCAGCAGTTCCTACAAGGCAGATCTTTATCTGCATTTGTAATGATCTCTTGTCTGCATCTGTAACGATCTCTAGAGCTGCTGAAGAATGGCCCCAGCATCAGAGAACTTGACCGATCTGCTTTTACTGGACTGGCTACAAATGGCCCATGGACACCACTGCATTTTTAGCTGAAAGGTCCCTTCGAGGTCAGCCGTCCATTTACAGCTCTACTCTCCACAGCAGCTGTGTGTGTGGTCGGTGAGAACAACGAGGGGTATCCAATAGGGCCCCCATCATCTGGACGGGGCCTTTGTGGCTTTATTTCAGACATGAAACAGGTGGAGAGTTTCCCATTACAGATCCATACTGAGCTGCCCTTGGAGAATTGGCCATTATTCACTAATGCCTGACCGTGTTCAGAAATCCTCACACGTGGGCTGGCTGCTTGGATTAATATCGACCCCCTCTCCCTTATGGAGCGCGGTGCTCCCTGACGAGGCCTTGCTGTCTTCGCCGGGAAGGGGAGAACTGTGGTTTCTGCTTCCCTTAGCTCTGCTGGCGTTCGGAAGCATGTGCCCCACACTCGGGGCAGATGGGAGGACCTTTCCCATCACAGGATCATTGTTGTTCTGACTTTAAAAGTGAACATCTCCAAGGATTTCAACACCTCTGCCAAAAACTGCTACGCAGCACTAGTTTCCTCCCAGGGAAAGGGGGAAATCAACACAGACACGTTCTTTAGAATTCTCAGCGAGCACACACTGGGAAACGGGTCCTCCACGGAATTACTCTCAGCACAAGGCATCCCCCAGGGACCGGTCTGCCTACCACACCCCCCGGAGAAGGATGGGTCGGTCTCTCTCTCTGTGGCCGTGAATGAAGCTTAGAACTGTGGTCAGCAAACAACTGTCGTGATTCACTTAGGGCCCATCACAAGCCCCTGCCCTATTCCAGACCCTTTATAAGGGTGACATGCTCACTTGGTCCTTCTGTCTCATCCTTCCCCCTCCCCCTACACACACCTTTTCTCCCTCTCTCTCTCCTCTCATAAACATGTCATTAGCATTCATACTACAAAAGGCTGGATCATCTGGGTCCTTCTAAACATGCCCTGCAGCCAGCTGCCTCCCGACTGGCCCAGGGGAACAGAACACCTGAGTTGTACAACAGACTGTTGGCCTGGTGCTCGCCACCCTACGGGACCAGAGAAGCTGAAGATACAATGTATGTGTACCCACATGAATGAATGTATATATTTGTGCATATATCCGTTCTGTTTGGATTCACGCTATCTTCCTGGACATGGCTTCCCCTCAGTATACCCATTAAGCCCCACAGCGGGCCGTTGGAGCTCGGAGCATGGGACACCGCACAGTCACTCAGCTTCTCATGAAGTCTCGCGTTCTGAGCTCTCCCGCAGGGCCTTGAGGACCCCGTGTTTTTGCAGAGGCCCCTGTGACCACCACAGCCCAGCCCTCCCCCAGGACCCCACTGGGCTGAGAGGGAAGATCTCAACCAGGGCTCGGTTGCCAAGTACTCAGCCTGGCCTGGCCTCAAACCAGAGACACGGTGGGCACAGGAGGGGGCGTGGGAGGCACTGAACAGCCAAGCTCTACAGGCCAGTTCAACTTACCTTGAACGACACAGGCACCCAGGTAGGCAGCATCTGAGAAGGAGCAGAGCAGTCGGCCGTGGAAAATATCTCTTTTAATTTGCAGGTACAAAAGGTACCTGCAATACAGAAGGAGAACGTCGCCCTGAGTGCTGGTGGAGGCCTGGGAGAAGCAGCACCGTTCATGCTTCATCCGCCTGTACCAGCAGAGCCCTACCAGCTCCGAGGAGTGGCCCCGGCGTGCCAGCCCCTGGCGGGCCCGCAGAGGGAAACTGAGGGCCCTTCGGGATTCAAGGACACTCAAGAAGGACCAAGGAAAGCCACAGGGCCAGCAGCCACTGTTTCTGGCAGGAAAAACACAGCCACTGTCACCACCACCCACAGCTCAGGTACATGCTTCCCAAGTTTTGTGTGAAACAGAGTCGGGAAGTGGATAAAGTCAGTCCTCCGAGACCAGTCTCCAGGACACAGGCTCACATGACAATCCCAAATGACTTCGTGGTGAGGCCAGAAAGCCCATGTACTCATGACCAGAGCTGCCATCTACTTAGTGCCCTCTCCCCCTCTGCAGGGACAGCCAACCAGGTGCCTACAGAGCCAGGCAAACCTGATAGCAAGTGACAGGAGCTGGCGTAAGGGGGCCGGGGAGCAGAACCGAGAGCCCTGGCCCCCGGAAAGGGGTCAGCCGCTATGCACCCAGCCCGATGCCACCGCACAGAAAAGCAGGCCAGAAAACCAAGGAGACTGGATGTAGAAGTTGTGAACAAATAGGGGCTACCTTGGCAAACACGACAACTCCCTAATGGAAAGAAACCCCAGGGATGTTCCCATCATGAGAAATTCCCAGCTGAATGGGTCACAGAGGGAGGTCACAGTCTAAGCCCATCTGATAGCTCTACCTTGAGCAAGCCCTGTCCGTTTTTCTCATGTATCTGGAATAACACACTGAAAATGTCAGAGTGAGCTCTTCTCCAGACTTCCAAAGACAAACACCGGTGAGGGATGAGACGAGCCCACCATTCCTCGTTATTATTTTTACCCCCATACCTCTGAAAACTATTTATGTTAAATGTTACTGGTCCTGCACGCACCAATGTAAATGAAACTTGTGTCTCTCAATTTTACTTGATACCTAATTCAAGAGATGTCCCTACTTTGCTTCCTCCCTCCTCCTCCTCCTCCTCCATCTGCCACCTGTGGATTTTACATAAACTTTTTTGCATCTTCTCCTTTGATTCGAATGGATAAAATAACCTGCAGAACTGTGATTCCCCTGGACATTCTCAGTCCCTTGAGATTTTGCTTCTGGGACTAGCCCCCAAAACCTTAGCTCTTTAAACCTTTCTTTAGGCTTGGAATTTCTTTCATTGACAAAGTAAAATCCTTTGACTTTAAAATGTTACAACGAATTTTGTTTTGAAAAGCACGTGGGCTCAATTCGGCCAGGGGGAGGGACAGGCAGTCCGCAGCCCTGGCCCAGCGCGTCTGTCACTGCCTTCTGCTCCTCGCGACACTCGACCCCGCTGCGGATTTCTCGCCTTGCGTAGCCAGGTAGATTCCTCCATTCTAGACCCGGGCCTGGGTCTATTGCTTCTGACTAAAGAAACTTTGTGGGTGTGCGTAGATTCTCTCTGTGGTTATTTTAGAGTTTAACTCAGAGACCAATCTTTCTTCTTGGGATGGGGTGAGGACACCACTCAGTTTCAGTTACCACTTCCAATGCTCAAATAATGTGACTTGCACTCAGCCTGTGATTCGCTGTATACACAACCTCATTTTAATGACTAAGACACGGAGGACCAGAGAGGTGATGACTATGCCGAGATCACACAGCCGCCGCCAGTGGAGCTCACAGATCCTGGGTGCTGGTGCCCTGAGAGCACCCTGCGCTCGCCGGAGGGTTCCGCGGTCACTGGGGTTTCCGCACCTGCTTTGTGCCGTGCACTGTGCTGGCCCTGGGGACACGGCGGAGGCTCCGATGAGACTCTGCCCCATCGCTGTTGGCCCCGTTGTGTGCAGGGGGTACAGGCAGTCCCTCCGCAGCTCTTGCTCGGAGGTCGGTGTGCATTTCGTCAGAGGATAGTTACACTCGGTAGAAACGGCCCCAGAGGAGCTCCCTGCACCAGCGCCCCTCACACTTTGATGAGCACACAGATCACCTGCAGGTCCTGGGAGCCTGGGGCTCTGATTCAGGGGGTCTGGGCGGGGCACAGGAGTCCACATTTCTAGTAAGTTCCTGGTGATGCCGGGCTGCAGGCCCTGGACCACCCCTCGAGGATGAGGTTCTAAGCCAGAGGTTCTCAGCCCTGACTGCACATGGACTCACCTGGGAGCTTTTGAACACACCTACGCCGTGGCCCTCCCCCAGACCCAGCTCAGTGAGAATCTGGATCCACACAAAGCGTGTTTAGGAACGTCCACAGCAGCGTTATTCAGAGCAGCTAAAAAGTGGAAAACCCCGATGCCCATCAACCGATGCAAGGATAGAGGGACAGTGAATGCAAAGGAATATAACTCAGCGTGAGAGGAATGAAGCACTGATTCCCGCTACAGCATGGACGGACCTTGGAAACATTACGCTAAATGAGAGGCAGTCAGAAAATACTACATGTTATAGTCTATTGTATGAAACATCCTGAACAGGCAAATCTAGAGACAGAGTAGATTGGGCTGCCAGGAATGACTGCGCGGGTATGGGCCCCCCTCGGGTGAGAACATGTTCTGGGATTAGATTGTGGTGATGGTGGCACAACTTTGTGACCATACTACACTCATCTATGTGTACACTGTAATCTCTGCCTTAAGAAAGGAATACTTTTGAAAATCCAAACTGCCCTAGAATAGTGATTCCCACATATTTATATGCTAGGCTGGGGCTATGAAAACACAGGCTGCTGGGCCCTGTCCCAGGTCAGAGGCAGGGGCCAAATTCCCAGGGAGGTTGATGCTGCTGGTCTGGAGACCTCGCTTTGCAAGGTCGCATGATACTGGACATAATCAAATCTTCCCTCTTTTAAAGAAGAATGTAAACTATCCAGCCAAGAGCCCTGGGTTTGTTTTCTACGTGCTGAATGCATGCGTTGGACAGAAGCATTCCTTCCCACTTTGTGCTGAGTTTAGTAGTAAAAGAGCCTCAGGTAACTATTTACCAGTGAATGAGAGGTTTGGGCTCTAACCTGTACATTAAAAATCCAGTCTGACGAGAGCTTGAGAAAGGGAAAATCAGCTTTCACAACTTCCGAACCTGGATGATCTCTAGAGATAAGCATGGATTGCTGCAGAGTCAACATAATCTACTGAGCCTTAAAAACGGCTCCAGGTTCAGGCACTTGTTTTTTGTTTGTTTTCTTTTAGTACAATAGCCACTAAAAAATAATAATAATAATTCATCTTCCTTTAGTATCCCACCATCATGAAAGGCTTATGCAACGAAAGAACCTGGGGCTTACGCTATTGTGCCACCATTAGTGCTATTGCTTCTCTACCTGGCCTGAATTTAAACCTGGTTCTGACTAAACATATTCAAACCAACATACTTTGATTGCATTTAAGCGTATGCAGCATCTACAGAGAGAGAGGAGAGAGAGAGAGAGAGAGATTGTAAGATGACGGCATAAATGGAGAGAGAAAGGAAGGATAAAAAATGATTCTATGCCCTGGCCAGTTTAGCTCGGCGGTTAGAACATTGGCCTGCAGTTCAGAGAGACCCCGGTTTGGTTCCAACTAAGGGCATGTACCTCGGTTGCAGTTTGTCCCTGGCCCTGGTTGGGCAGTGCAGGTGGTAGCCATTCAATGTGTCCCTTTCATGTTGATGTTTCTCTCTCGCTCGCTCTCCCTCCCTCCCTCCCTCCCTCCCTCCCACTCTGTCTGACAAAAAATGGAAAAATGTCCTCAGGTGAGGATAAAAAAATAAAAAATAAAAAGATTCTAAATTTTAGATTAATCTTACAATAAAATAATTTCTCAAGCAAGAAAAACTAAAGTCTTTCAGGATAGGATTTAAACCATCAGTACCTGGGGCATTCCACAGTTCTTAGATTAGGTTTGAATGCTAAGGACCATATTGACTAAGAAAAATCCATCCCTACTGTGCAAAAACTGAACATTGTTTTAATTTTTTAAGAGACATAAAAATGTTCACAATTTTCCACTATTTGTACCTTATCTATTCAGGCTATTAGCTATTTGCTGCAAATGCTAGCAAATTTAATTGAGAGGGATTTAACTAGGGTTATTAGCTAAAACATTGTTCTATTTTACTTTCCAATGGGACTTTTCTCAACAACGAAAGATCTAGTGTTAATTTCTACTATGACACATATAAATTTTTATCCTCCAGACAAGTTTATAAAGAAAACAAATGACAAAAGTGAGCCATTTTGGCCCACGGTGGATCTTCCTGATTATACTGTTAGCACCACCCAGAGAACAGGACAAATCTCTCTCTCTCTCTCTGACTCTCTCTTTGTAGCTCTAACAGCCCCTGTGCCCTGGGCTATACAGGGAGCCAGAACTGAAGAAGAATTTAGCAAATAAATGAATACATTTTTGAGCTCTCAGCAGGCCAAATGTTGCATAATTCTATTTGCATGAAGTGTCTAGAGCAGGTAAATTCATAGGGACAGAAAGCAGACCAGTGGTGGCCGGGGGCTGGGGGCGAGGAGACTGAGTAGTGACTGCTGATGGATACAGTGTTTCTTTCTGGGGTGATGAGAAAACATTTTGGAACTTGGCAGCGGTGAGGGTTGCCTAACATTATGAATGTGCTTCATGCCAATGAATTGTCCTCTTTCAAATGGTAAAATGAATTTACGTTATATGTACTTTCTCTCGATTTAAGAAACACAGCAGGCCAGATTGCAGAATACTAACCATCACTTATAACATCCATTATCTATGTATTTCTCCCTTCCACACCTATATCCTGCCCCCAAGTACAAACCTCACTAAATGGCTGTGTGCAAACTCACAACAGAGAATGGAACCAACGTCACCTCAGGGCCACTACAGCCAGGCTTTCCCAGACATTCATGGATAATGAGAAAGCAAAATCCCCAAGCACCCAGCACATGTCCCTGCGAACAGTGATCAGGGACCCGCACTTGATCTCTGTGGCTTTCGTACCTATGGAGGCTATTGTGAGAGACAGTTAGACAGAATGATATTTGCAGCCACCAGATCACAGCCTCGCCAGGAGCTAAGCACAGAATGGCTCTAACCCGTCCACTGAACTGGCCCTTCTGGGACCCTGCTCAGCTGCACTGGCCCAGGCTGTTCCCGGAAGCGAGACCCCCAGAATGTGGACTGAATGTGGCCCCAGCAGAGGGAGATGAGAAGTGGGGAAGCCTGAGAATTGGAAAATTCAGAGAGTTGGGCTGAGAAGGGTCTAGACGGAGAGGGAAGCTGGCCCCCCGTCCGTCGTTTAGTAGAAGGAGTAGCAAACAGTCCATTCTGTCAAGTGATCTTTTCCCTCCCAGAAAAGCTTAGATGTAGAAGACAGGCCTAGGGGCTTCGCTCGCAATGAACTTGGCCATGTTCTAAAGACAGTCATCGTCTATTTATTTTTAGCACCCCACTGTCAGACGTTTTCAGAGAGCACCCCCTCCTTATAACCGCTCCTTTTTTGCACAGTTAATTACACTCCCAAGGACGAGTGTTTGGAAAACCCGAGACAATTCCGTGCAAGAGAAACATTCCAAACGGAAGGCTGAGCTGAGCGCCCGCTCGAGACCCTGTGCTCCAGACAAGGCACCTCAGGCCTGTAAGACTCGGGACCCTGGCTGGTGCAAGGGGCACGTGAAACAGAAAACAAGTGAAAAATACCTTGTGAGCTCTTCTTTAATCTTCAGGGGTTCGTGTGGGTAGAATTTCACTCTAAAGCACATGGTGTATGGTGGATAAGCTGAAACATCATAAAAAAAAAAGGCATGAGAAAAGCCGCAAAACACCAGGAAGCCTTACAGCCTGGCCTGGGGCTGGGAGAGGGCGATTTTCTGGATGAAGCAGGTATTATACGCAAGAAATCAAAGCCACAGTGACAACACAACTCAAAACTCTTGACAGACGACCAAGCCAAACGCAGACCGTCTAGTCCAGCAGCACATCCTTCCGGGTCACAGCTCCAGAGGACATGTTCCCTTCCTATGCTGCCCACCCCCCGGCGACAAATTGCCCACAAGCATCGCTCAGGTTTTCAGCCTAGTGAAATACTCTCTAGCCGGTGAGGTGGAACAACGTCACTGCACGTGACTAGTTTTCCCAAAGCAATGGTGCCTTTGAACTAAAATTGAGCTTTTTTTTTTAATGGAGTCAGCCACACACAGTAAAGATTCTACTTTATTTTTTTTCTCATATTATTTTAGTGTTATCTATCTATGAGGCAGTCACTTGTATGAAAATAAATACTTTTATAACTTCCTGATTTATCTGAATCAAGATAGTACTATGCAGATTGACATTCTGGTTGAGATCCATGATTCTGGAATGTCTTAACTACATTAAATATCCCAAACTCAGTGATCAGCTAAGGGGATTCTACAGGATTTCTGACACTTATAATTATAAGACTACTGCTGACTTGCAATATTAACCCAATAAATGCACACAAGTGCAGTAAGATACATATGATGGTTAATATTACTATTTCTACAGCTCTGACATGCCCACTCATTTATTGCCTTTGTATCAGTGTGGCTACTTAGCATCAGCTCTGAGTCTGGATCTAAGAAACGGCATCCTATTCTCCCCCAAACCCCCTTCATTATAACCAGGGTTTAAATCACCAGCCAACTCTACAAAGTCTGGGGCTGTTCTGTATGCAGCAAAATTCTTTACATAGAAAGGACTGTAAGCATTAAATATGAATGTATAATGAGGATAGTTTAACAAGGAAAACAATTCTTAAAACTAATTTAAAAGAAAGCATCCAAATCACAGGAAAACAGCAGTATCTTGCTGGCTGTCTCAACAGAGAAAAACTGATTTAAAATATACACACAGGATTGCATGTGTGAGGCAACCAATCAATGTTTCTCTCTCTCCCTCTCCCTTTCTCTCTCTCTAGAATCAATGAAAGGCATATCCTTGGGTGAGGATTAAATACACACACACGCACACACACATATATGTCAGAACTCTCCATTCAGATCTCTCCTTTCCCATCGGGAATTAGCAAATTTCTTAACTGAGTTGGGAGCTCCTAACCCAGCCCTGTGTTCCCTAGATTTAAGAAAGAAAATATGTTTCTGGACACCAGGAGTAAATGGACACCTCCTATAAAGCAACAAAACAACAGAGGTAAATACACGTGATTCTTAAGTCAATCATCTTTCATGATATCCAGAAATTCCATTTTGACTCAAAATAGTTTATCTTTACACAGTTCTAAGATTTCTGTTAAATTGTTTAAACAATCATCTCTAAAGAATTAAAACTAATGAGCATTTTATTATAAAACCCATGGATTATTCTTAATTAGAAAGATTGAGAGTTTTTATAAGAGAAGAACAACAGAGCAAAAAGTGGAAATAACATAAGGAAGTTTTCTCCTTCTTTCTTTTCATTAAAGTCCTCAAAATTAATACATGGGTAAGCACAACCAATGAAGATGGAAGGAAGGAAGGAAGGAAGGAAGGAAGGAAGGAAGGAAGGAAGGAAGGAAGGAAGGAAGGGAGGGAGGGAGGGAGGGAGGGAGGGAGGGAGGGAGGGAGGGAGGGAGGGAGGGAGGGAGGGAGGAAGGAAGGAGATAGATGATAGAAAGATGATAGATAGATAGATAGATAGATAGATAGATAGATAGATAGATACAGACGGATAGATAGACAGAGCCAACCCCTTTCACTTTCCTTCACTTGGTTTCTATTCCTACCCTCAGATCACCACCCCACCTCAAATTCTCCACCACTGCTAACAACTTAATCTATATTCTTCCCAAATATATGCCAACATGATTATATATATGAGAGATATTTCTATAATTTAGTCTCACAAAACATCATAGTACAGATGTTTCTCTTGCTTTTCTCACGTAATTCTACATTCTCCCCACCCTCCAGGATGGTAGATCTAGAGCTGTAATAACTGCATAATAGTTCATACTATGGATACACTGGAGAATTTACTCCACTACTTCCACTCTTCTCTTTTATCACAATTGAAATTATATATATATATATTTAAATTTTAATTTTATATATATTTATAATAGGAAATATGCACAAGGATATATAATTATGTGTATAGCATTAAATACTTGTATTTTTACTTCAATTACACAACCTCCCAAAATTTGAACTGTTGGGTCAACAGGAATGGGAAAATATCTTAAAGAGAACAGAAAAATAAAAGCCAACTTCAGGCAAATTGGAGAAAATAAGACCACGGAAGATGGTCCCAAACGAGCTCTGTGATTTTGTCTCCTACCAAGTCAGCATATCTGTTCACCATGCCCTGGGCTGGCTTCAGCAGTTATCTGTGCTCCTGGATACCAATCAGACTGCACTCCTCCCAAGGGATCAGCACCCCAGGTGGCCATCTGTGAGGACCCCTGACTGTGGGAAATCCTCCCACCAGTCATCCTCATGCCGAGACCTCAAGCTCCAGACGGTCTAACGCTTTTCCGACACACAGAGCCCTTCCTTCACTTGAAGACAGTGCTTGTGATCCTTCTGAGTCTCCTCTAAAAGAAACATTCCATTCCTTTAACAGCTCCTCACGTGAGGCAGTTTTGAGTGCCCTCACCTCGGTATATTCCTGTCTACTCTGTGTGTCCTCCAGCATAGGGTTTCAGACGTGGCCACTTCTGCTCAGGTGAGGGGACCACCATCTGCATCACTTTGGACATAACTGCTGCTTCCCCTCATCTCAATGTTGATTCACAACAGACCAACATTCTTAATTCTTTTCATATATGCTGTTGCTAAGTCACACATAAAAAGTCACAGTTCCTGATCTCTCCCTCTATTCTCTAGGATGTGATGGTGGCAGATAGTAATACAAGGAACTAGTGATGTGCTCACTGCGAGACCCATTATCAGAGAAGGGCTGAGAGTGGGCAGCAGGAAAAAACCAGAGGAGTCACTTTTCAAGTCTGATCTTTTCTATCCATTTTCTTCTATGATCATATATACCCCTACTGTGTCTTTCTCTTCAGATTGATCCAGCATCACTGACCCCAGTAAAAGAAGAGGACTCCCCTGTACGTCAGGAGCCAGGATTTTGACATGGTGAACCACAAGCTCCAGGGCCAGCTCTGCTAGGCGCTCCACCTCATCGCTCAGGCCTGAAGAGGCCCCAGGCGGCAGGCTGCTCCTTGAAGAACTCACCTGAGGCTCTGGCTGCAAGATTATATTATAAAGCAAGTAGTAAAGCTGAGGAATGCTTCTTCATAGAGTTGGAACAGGCTAAAAACATTAATAATTTCCCCAAAAATATTGATCTACCTGTGGATAACAAGATTTATGAGGATATGGACCCATATGTCTTGTTCAGCTTTTTATCCCCAGAGCTTATTACTGATAAAAGATTGACTCTCTGACTGTCTGGTTAAATGAATGAGTGAATGAATGAATGAATGATTCCCAACCTTTGAGGCCAATGTCAACAAGAGGAGCCGGCCCTACCATCACTTTCATCCCATCCAAACACTGGTCTAGAGGGTCCATAGTCTGAATTACTATGGCACTTTTTAGGCTTATATTTTGAAAACCACTGATCCTACATCTCAATTTCTGCCCTTCAATATCTGGAACAAATTAAGGGACTCTAGAGTCGGTTAGAAAAGCTACTTCTAGAGAAGAAAAAATAATAATTAATTCAATCAACAAATACTTTTTGGGCACCCACTGGGTACCAGGCACAGGTTTAGATGTACAAATAATAGCAGCTGTAAACAGACAAAAATTCTGTCTTCATGGAGAACACATTCTTGTGGGATATACATGTATAAAACCAAAATAAAAAGTAAAATACATAGGTCATAAGTGCTATGAAGAGTGAAGCAGAAAGAATCCAAGAGGTGAGGAAAGACCACGCCCACCTGCTCCCTTTTCTCATCCTGACTATAACCAAATCCACAAAAGTAAGTACCTTCTAGAAAACCAAATAATTGAATGTATTTAAAATTTAAATCATTCAACAAGAGGATGGTGGAAAAGTCACCCCCAAACGTGTGGGCACTGGTTTGGAGTCAAGAGCCCCCCTGTCGAGCCCTAGCATGCACCATATCAGCGGTGTGGCAGACCGAAGGAGACTTCCAGGTGTAACAGCTAGCACTCACTCCCCGGAACACGTCTAAGGGCAGATCCCCTCGTGCAGACCAGCCTGTTCTCTTCTCTAAACAGCTAAGTGTCTCTTCCGTTCCATCTTCCATGTCTTCTTATTCTTAAGCTACAGAGAAAGAGGAATAAAGGATGACTCTTATCTGTGCCAACCATTTGGCACAGAACCAGTAGTTGGAAACGTCTAATGAAGGACCTATCTGTGGAGCAGAAAGCATCTGGCATAGAGGTAACACATAGGCAATAAAACCCACACTCTACACTGGGGCCCTACCCACGGGTGTCATTAAGCAGTCACTGTGCATCTTTGCTAGACTAGACAGTGTGGTCACCCACAGGGAAGACACCGAAGAGCACCTCTGCGGTAGTACTGAAAGCTTCAGCCGCAGTGACAGAGGCACACGGGGGGTGGCATCCCCACCACCAGGGGCTGAGACTCTGAAATTTGAAGGGGACATCCAACAGTGACCTCGAGCAAGCCACCTAACTTCTCTGGAAGAGGGGACAGCACAAGGGGCCCCACAGGTGTGTGCACAGGCACACAACACGTTCTCTAAATGTAAGCTTTTGTTTTGTGGGGATAAACACTCCTACCCGAAGAAGAGAGGAGAGGGGAAGTGGGAAA